ACAAATATTTAAAAATATGGAACAACTTAAAAAAAATTTAAAAATCAGTGGCTAACTTGGAAAAAAAAAAAAAAAATCAATTTGAGGGACTAACGGATAATTTGACCGTGTTCATAAGTTAAAATCCAATTAAACTATTAATTGGTAAAATTTAATGATTTTGTTACGTTTGCATCAAAATTTATAAATTTGTTTATTGATAATATGGCAAGATTTGATTGATCAAAATATTATCAACTAAAAAAAATGTATTTATTTTATTATTAATCCATGTTTTTATTAAAAAAAAAATGGAGGACTATACTTAGTACGCATTTCTCCATTCAATGCTTTTTTAAATGAGTAATTAGCACAAAACGTACCTACATTATGAGATTTTTGTGAAAAAAATTCTTACCTTTCGTTTTTTAGCAGATTTCACCCTCATCTTTATTTTTTTTTGCGCAAAACATCCTTCTATTAATTTCTCATTAAAATGCTCCGTTAAATTAAAAGGTAATTAGCACAAAAGGTCTCTACCAAGATTTTTTAGTAGATTTCACCCTCATCTTTATCTTTTTTTGCGCAAAACGTCCTTCTGTTAACTCCCCATTAAAATGCTCTGTTAAATTAAAAGGTAATTAGCACAAAAAGTCCCTACCTTTCAATGTTATTGTACCAAACGTTCCAACATTTCTTTTTTTGGCATAATTAGCACAAAATGTCCATACCTTTCAATGTTTTGTGCAAAACGTTCATACCTTTCATTTTTTAGCATTTTCACCCCTACCTTTCACATTTCATTGCGCAAAATATCCTTTTCATTCTTTTTTCAATAAAATGAAGATTTTATCCTCCTATTCAAATAAAACAAAAAGAAAAGATGAATTACCAACTACAACCATAATCCTTAAATTATTAAAAAAAAAATTATAAAGAAATTATAAATTCTCAACCACCACCATTTTCATAACCTATCAAGCTGCCACCTATAAATCTACATAGCACTACCTTTTGGCGACCATTCCCACCGGACTCCACCATCGTCATCTTACACGCAAATTTGAAATATTGGAGTACTTAAGACCCACCAATTTTGGTTCTCTCACCATGAATCATGCTAGTAGAGAGTTTTGGACCCGAAATTGAAACGATTGAAGGGATAATTTGTTCAATTAGATTCATGCACATTGTCGTTTGGATTTGTTGATGGCTTGATTGATGCCAATTTTGAAATTTAGTGTTGTGGGATGCATGAATTGAAGGAGAAGATTTTGGCAAAATGGATGTCGTCACTATCGAATGTTCTAGAATTACAACAAAATGATTTGAGGCAGTTTTGATTGATGTGAGGTCATGTACAGATTCGTCGAGGCGAGGTGTAACCGTCTATGGTGCCTGAAAAGTGGGATTGTTATGAAGGGTTGTATATGACAATTTGGTATTTTGGGCTGTAAATGTGGTTCTTTCGAACAGATTGGTGACCAATACTATAGAGGAGGATATTGGGGAGAGAGGGGTGAGGCTGGTGGTGGTGGAGTCCGATGGGTATTGTGGCCGAAAGATGGTGCTATATGGATCTATAGGTGACTACTTGGTGAGGTTGTGAAAGTGATGGTAGTGAAGAATTTATGACTTATTTGTAATGTTTTGAAAGATTCAGGACTATGATTGCAATCAGTTATTTATTTTTCTTTTCATTTCTTTTTGTTTTATTTGAATAGGAGGGTAAAATCGTGATTTTATTAAAAAATGGATGAAAATGACATTTTGCGCAATGAAATATGAAAGGTAGGGGTGAAAATCTCAAAAAATAAAAGGTGGGACATTTTGCACAATAATATTGAAAGATAATGACCTTTTGTGCTAATTACCCTTTGATTTAACGGAACATTTTAATAGGGAGTTGACATAATGACGTTTTGTACAAAAAAAAGATAAAAGTGAGAATGAAATTTATCAAAAATCGAAAGATCGGGAAGTTTTTCACAAAAACCTCCAAAGGTCAAAATGTTTTGTGCTAATTGCTTTTTAAATTCTCACAAAAAAAGATGTATATCGTCGAATGTACGCTTCGCATAATTCTTTATAATCTGCAAATGGATATATGAAACATTATCAGTTTAAACTTCCAGATCACAAAACTACCTACCCAGTAAAGTGGTCAATGGAAATGGCGACTCCGATCTAAATCTCTGTTCTTTCTCGCTTCACCCATCACCAGAAAAGAAAAGCTCTTCAATAACGAGTCTTTTGTGGGTTTCTTTCAAACATCTACCAGAATCGTGTGAGGTACATAAATTTCCGCTGTCAATACTCACCTTTTGTAATTTGAATGCTATTTTACGTGCTTCCATCCCCAATTGTGCTTTCGAATAATTTTTTCTTTCAATTTGGCGTAATATGGTTTTGGGCAGTTTACATTTCTGAAAGTTTTCTCGGCTAAATTTGTTGATGTTAAATTTTTTTTTATTTTTTTATTTTTTTTTATATAGCTTTGTTCACATTACTATTTTCTTGTAGATCTAGCATGAACAGAAGGTAGGGTGAACAGGGTTTCAGTTAGCTGATCTCAAATTTATTGTGAACAAGGCTTAGTTTGTTGTTTTTGCACAAATATGAGTTGAGTTAATTGTGCTTTTGATTAACAATATTCCAGTTGTATAAAATGCTATTGAAACTTATATTTAGGTTTGAGATCTTTATTCATTACTAATGATAATTATGTTCACTAGAATTTAGTTCTCCAAACCTTGTGGTGGAGTGAAATGGAAAAGGAGGATGAGTACCCAATTGTGAATTGGAATGATAAGGCTTCGTTGACTGGGGAGCGTGTGCATAAATTTGTATATTTCTAGATAATTGCACATAAACGAATTTGGAATCTAATAAATGAACTTTAAATTTCAAAATAAATAAATGAATAAAAATGATGAACATCAACGTGAAGTAAGAATCTTCACTACTTGATTACTTGATACAAGTTTTGTTGTAGGTGAGATCCCCAACGTTAATATATGAGATGTATGGTAAAATTATTCAACAACGTCTGTTTCAATTTGAGTAAATGAAGATTTTCCAAGGTAATTTGTTTTTATGCTTCATTTCATCTTTCGACCATAGCTTTGTTTATGCTTTATAGAGAAATTGGAGACCTTATGCTAAACGTCTATATGAAATAGATTCATTTATTGAACTATATGCCTTTCTCCTGGAAAGAGAGAAGAAAAATGAACCTTTGCATATGAACTGTCACGCTTTTCCTACAAACATCCTTCTAATACTGACTATTAGAGAGACTGTCAAGCGAGGAAGATAAGAGTTTCTTTGGCTGAAGAACTTGAAAATTTTGGTCCGTGACATATTCTTTCTAGTTTTGCTTATTATTATCATTTTTTTTTTTTTTCAAATTCTTTGGCCAAATCTGGATTAGTATTGTAAGCTACTTATTGTAGGTAAATTGTTTGGTGACTATATGGGTGTTTTCATTTCTTTTGGCTTATCCAGACTACTGGTGTTGTACATCGAATAGGTTATGGCACAATTGGAACCTGCAAGTGCTGACAGGGAATTATTTCAAGTTTACAGTGGTGCAAGGAGACCTCGGATACTCCTTGCTGCTAGCGGAAGTGTAGCTGCTATAAAATTTGCCAATCTGTGTCACTGCTTTTCTGAATGGGCAGAAGTAAAAGCAGTCGCAACCAAGGCATCTATGCATTTTATAGACACTACATCACTTCCCAAGGACGTTACTCTTTACACCGATGAGGATGAATGGTCGACTTGGAAGAAAATAGGTGATAGCGTACTGCACATTGAACTTCGCAGATGGGCTGATATTATGGTCATTGCCCCATTGTCAGCAAACACACTCGGCAAGGTACACAATATCTAGTATAATCTTAGTTATCTGATTAACTTGTCAGTGTCACGTTTATTACATTACAAATTGCCTGCATAGAGAAGCAGACTTGGATCATTTTGCTTGTTTGGCTATGCTTAAATATAAATAAAATATGTTTTCAAATCTGTTTGGGTGAATGACCGTTAAGGATATTCTAAAGTAACTCTTGCCTTACTTTCTAATAAGTAGCTTGTATATATTTTTCACCAATAAAGCAAATATTGTTTTAAAGCCTTCATTAAGTATATTCGCATGAATTTCTAGCATACTTTGGACTTATAGTTCTTTCTCCAGAGTCTGGATCTGCCTTAAAATCCCTTACTTGGATTCTTCCTAGAGGGTTCCTTCTTGAATGCTTATAAGTGGACCTTTGACTTTAGATTCCTGCAGTTTTACCTGAGTACTCCATGCAAAAGCTTTCAAAGTGATGTTAGTAACAAGATATCTTCTTAGGCTTCGAACATTGTTTTGATGATTTTATAACTGAGTTTTCTTCTTATATAGCTGTAACAGGTTAATTCAATTGTGATTTTGACTGTGTTTCGTGCTGATTTCTTATAGATTGCCGGGGGATTGTGTGATAACTTGCTGACTTGCATTGTACGGGCATGGGACTATAGTAAACCATTTTTTGTGGCACCAGCCATGAATACTTTAATGTGGAACAACCCTTTTACAGAACGCCATCTTATGACAATTGACGATCTTGGAATTTCCCTTATCCCGCCAGTGACAAAGAGGCTAGCCTGTGGAGATTATGGAAATGGTGCAATGGCTGAGCCTTCTCTCATTTACTCAACCGTAAGGCTCTTCTTAGAGAAACGGGCACAATCAATTGGCAGAAATATTCAGTGATGAAGAAAAAGGAGAGTAGCAGTATTGCAATTTTATCTCTTGTAGAGACGACGAACAATGTTTAATTTGTTGTACAAATGCTAGTTATTTAGAACCTCCAACAAGTGCAGTTTGAAATGGATTTTCTCCTATTTATGTTACATGGACCAAAGGAATGCTGTGTTTTTAATTTTAATTCAATGTTGCATGCCATAAATTTGCATGTATATTATAAACAGGTACAAGGAGAAAACAACAATCAAGAACAAAAAACCTACTATTGAAACTCGAAACAGGATTCCAGATTTGCCATTAGAATAACATGTTACATTGATGAAGGCGTTCTAAATTTTCATGAGAGTAGTGACACAAGAGAGACAAACTCCAGGGTAACCCGACCCTTAGACCTTGTGTTGATAACAAAATGCTCTGGGTACTTCCTCAACAACATGAGCAACCCATACCATGGTTTTCCATTGGCTTCTGGAATGGAATGATCCTCAGACGTGAGGTATCTTCTCACACGACTGTGATGCCAGACGTTACCGAATTGTTCCTCCAACTATACAAACAAACATGAGCATAAGAGAATTGTAATAATCTGATGTTTAAAAACTAGATGCTTATATATGTTCGAACACCATCTATGACAGACCAAGGTTCTCTAAAAAGGTAAATAGCATATGAGATCGCATGTTCAACTAGAATAAGTAGATAAATTTTAAAAAATTCCAAAATTTCTACAACCTAAAAATTAAGATAGTAATGAACTAGTGAAATGGGCACATCAAAGTCATTAAACATTACGAAATTTACTGCATAAGGACTCGCATGCTACCAATCCCGAGTAAAATTTTAGTACAAGTCTTCTTCAGTTTCTTCTAGCTCTATAAAAGGGAACCTAGGATTTCAATGATTTTACTGTTGATTAATAATTTTTTGAAATATTGAGATTTTCCTCCTCCCAAGTGTTTTCCCTTTACTATTTATCTATCTTCTTATATTCTAGCTCTTCCCTCTTTGCTCCTCTATTTCTCCTCTCTTTATGTCTATTCTCTTATTCTCTAGTATTCTACAATCTCTTTCTTCTCCATTCCTCTACATGTTCTTTTGCCCCTCTTCTTCACTCATGATATCCTTCTGTCAAGTTCTGCATCACAAGCAACCTATTTACAGCAGATTTTAATAAAACACAGAGCTTCTAGCGAAGTACTGAAAAGAAGTTTGTTTAAATCTTGTAGCTAAAAAAAAAAAAAAAAACACTTGACTCATGAACAGCGGATTAATTTCATAAAAAGCATGCTATGTGACGAAGTTGGATAAGAAATGTTAAAAGTTTTCAAATGAGTCTTTTCTTCCAGGAATATAATTGGTTTGTGAAAGTCAGAAGTAGAGTAGAATGTAGTAAATAACTTTCTCAACTTGGCTCCTCAAACTTAATCAGACGTATCAATTTACTCCCTAGCCTATTCAAGTTTGCTCCATGGGCCCAATACAATGAAAAGTTCAAAATTCATGCCTACATTAGCCCCCATTTGGCCCCCATTAATTTTCATTCCATTACATTTCATTTTTCTCTTTCTTATTTTCAACCACACAATCTTATATAAAATAATATTATACGTAAATCAAAAACTTTTTCTTCTTTTTTAACCACTCATTTTTCAAAAAAAGGCTATTCCATCCATTTCATTCCCAAAGAAATGGGGGCAAAACGGGGTCTAAATGATGATATGCCCTTTTAAGAACTACGAAAAAGGAATCCCAAAATGAAAGAGAATAGCAGGAAAATAAAAGAAAATGAATAAGAAAAGAACCCTTCTTGATGCGGACATCCATTTATTATTTATTTTCTATTTGGACTATTAGTTATATTCTATTTGGATTATTATTTATGTTTCTGTTATTGGACTTGTATAGTGGGTTTGGCCCAAGCCCTTCTCTTTAGGGTTTTTGTTTTGCTATTTATTTCTATTTTGTTGCGTATTTGAGGGAGTTGATGAATTGATGAAATGAATATGCTTGGTTTTAACGTTTTCCTTCCCCTTCCTCGCTAACTTCTCCTTCTTCTCTGGTTTTCTACCCCTGCTGCCGCCGTCTTCCTCTTTTCTTCTCTTTCTCGCTGAAATTCTGCAATTCTTCTTCTTTCCTGCTGTTTTTATTCTCTATTGGAATCCCTCTTTATCCGGCATCAAAGTGATATCAGAGCTAAAACTTGGGAAATAGTTCTTCCTGTCATCTTCACAAAACACCATACCCTTGCCCCTCACACCAGATTGCAATTGTTTTATCCAAATACAGTCACAACTCCCAGCATCATACTCGTTAACACCAACAATTCCTACCACAAACAAAAATAACAATTACATACTTCAGCCCACTCTCCAATTACAAATTCACAAAACCATCGCACCAAAGCTGCCTTCAAAATACATGCTCCCCCACGTCTTCATCCAAATACCCACTACCTAAAATACCACAAAACCCACTCATGACAAAAACCACCCACTACCCAAGACTCCTTCCACCGCCCATCCAATAATCACCGTCTCTGCCGTCCTTCAACACCACCATATTCCAGCGCCACCAACCTAAACTGCAATTTGACCCACTACGCTCCCATATTTCGAAAAGCTATAACGCCAACCAATACAAACACCAAACATCGCTGCTGCTTGTACCTCTCGCTGGCAATTTTCAGCCCAACCACAAAGCAACATACAAATCGCAACCCAGAAATTGAATCATCTCATCTCATCTCTCCGACAGCTCCTAATCAAAGATCCATGCCATTAATTTTCAACAAGTCGCTTGTACACCATCGTCACCAGCCGTCGACGGCCGCTCTAAGCCAGCACACCACAGTCGCCTAAGGCTTTGCTCGCCACTATCATCTGGGAGTCGACTCCTCTGCCTCTATTTTCATTTTCCTCTAGCTTTGGTTTGGGCCTTGCTATAGGCCCTGTATTTTTATTTATTTATTTATTTTTTTAGATACAATAGTTTGGATATTTTATGTATTGTGTAGTTTATATTTGAATAAAAAAAAGTATTTTCTAACATTATTTTGCATGTACCTTTTTTATCCTGTTGATCGACCCAGTTACTTAAACAGACGAAAGGGAAGTTACAGCTTTTATTTATCTTTGGTTTATAATACTGTTTCGTTTTAAAATTGCATCAATGTTTTTGTGTGCTGCTGTTATTCCAGTTTTTACCTAAACTCACGTAATTGGATCCATTACCTTCGTTAAATTTCACTTTTACCTCGCTTATTTTACCTCACTTATTTTATGTGATTAGGTCCTACCTAGTATTTGGCCCTTGCTTTACTATTTAACATAAACCATCAGTATTAGCTTGCCATATTTAGATTTATTTAATCCCAAAACTTATTTTTAAAAAAAAGAAGATAAAATGCTCAAATTATTATTTTCCATTGCTTGAACTTGTGTTTATTGATCTCTCTATTGCACATCATTTAGTTGCTATTACAGTGCATATAGTTGCATAGTGGTCGTCCGATCACTTCTAGTTCTAGTACCTTAAACATGGATCTCTCACAATTTGATGCACTTACTCGACAAATAGCTGCTTTCCAAACTCAAATAACTGCTACTCTTGAAGAGAGTAAGGCTCTATCTGCTAATTTGAACAACTTTAAACAAATCCCTAGTTCAAACGACGATCATAAAGCTAAAGTGTCCCATAATAGACATTATCATCATCAACATGGTGATCAAAAATGCTTTAGACGCGATCGTAGGGGTAGGGATCGGGTTCGTGAGTGAGAACGAGATAATTTTAAAATTTTTACTCAATGGAATGCCGTTAAACAAGGAAGTCAACTAATGACGGAGTATATCACACAATTTGAGGAATTTCGAACCAAATGTCATTTCATTGAGGATGAGACCACGACTTTGAGTAGGTTTAGCCAAAGTCTGAAAGATGATCTTAGGCGTCGGCTTTTCCTTCGAAATGTTACTACTCTTAATCAAGCTTACTCTTTAACTCGAGATTATGAGTTGATTAGTACACCATATGAAAAACATGGTCATCGTCGTTCACCCATCCCATTAGCTCCACCTCACCATAAGTCTATAATGAAGTCTTCCCCGTCCAATGTTCCTCCCATTTGGAAAAATAATTGCAAAGGTCGTGATAGTTCAAAGCTTTCTTCTCCATATAGAAGACGTATTGATAATCATCCTTCTGTTTCATTGGCTCCACTTCCTCCCGTTAAATCCCTTTTAGAACCTCCCTCATCTAATATTCTTCCAATCTTTGAAAATAAGGGTAAAATTTTTTAAACTCCAAGGACTTCTTCTCATTTGCTGTGCATCAGCTGTAAGGTCTTTGGCCACATTTCTTCCAAATGTCCTAATCGAACCTTAGTCATGGAAGAACGAAAGAATGCAATAGATGAGCCGTTAGAAGATCTAGTCTATGAACATAAACTTGAAGATTTTGATGACTTGGATGATAGTGAGGACACTTCATTAGGTGGAATCCCGACCCTTCTCGAGACTTTAGAAACTATACCCCTTGTTTCCAACAACTCTCAATCACATGTTATATGTCATACCATTGCCCAACTCAAAGAGTTCGATGATTTCACTAGTCACCCTTGGAGAATCCAGTCGCCTATGTTTAGCACTAAATCGAATTTCTCCACTACTGACTAACCTCAAACTGATGGTCAAAACGAAATTGCTAACCAAAGTCCTAGCAATTTATTACAGTCTCCAGTCCAAAAAAATCTTGGTAATTTGGACTTGATCCCTCCAATTATTCAAATTACATATAACAATCCTGTGAACTGGTCTTTAGGTCTAAATCCCTTTGAAGTTATTCAAGGTTGTGAACTTGGGAAACATTTAGACTTTATTCCCATGTACCCACATGCTAATGTCAATTGAGGTAGTTGTATCACATTTTCATAACTTGCATATTGAGATCAATAAACAATTTGAAACAAGTAACGCATTATATAAACCTCGAGCTAATTGGCATAAATAACATTTTGAATTTAATATTAGGGATTATGTTATATTGCAAGCTCGTAATGC